CACTCTCTCTCTCTTTCCCTCTCTCTCTCTCGCCCCCCCCCCCCCCTCTCTCTCTCTCTCTTTCCCTCTCTCTCTCTCGCCCCCTCCTCCCACTCACTCTTTTCCTCTCTCTCTCTCTCTCTCTCTCTCTCTCTCTCTCTCTCTCTCTCTCTCCCTCCCTCTCCCTCTCTCTGTCTCTCCCTCCCTCTCTGTCTCCGTCCGTCTCTTCCTCTCTCTCTCTCTCTCTCTCTCTCTCTCTCTCGCACGGGTGCATGCGCGGCGCGAGCGGATGCTCACTTGTCTGCGGGGAGCTCCTGCGCGATCAGGTGCAGCTTCTGCACGACGTCCGCCGCCTCATGCAGACGACCCGCGTCCGCGAACACGCCGCCCGACGGTGGCGCCCCCGAGCGGAGGAACGCGTCGAAGTAAGACATGAGTCGCTGGGCTTCGACCGCACGGCCGCGCGGGATGTTCACGCTCTCCAGCTGGTCGCCGAGGTGGAGCACCTTCGTCGCCACCGAGTTGATGTGCCCGTCGAGGCCCTGGAAGTCTCGTGCCGCGTCCTGAGATGTGCAAACATAGTATAAATGCATGGCCAAAAGAGGAAGATAGAGAGAGAGCGAGAGAGAGAGAGCGAGAGAGAGAGAAAGAAAGAGAGAGCGAGAGAGTGAGTGAGAGAGAGAGAGGAAGAGAGAGAGAGAAAGAGAGAGAGAGAGAGAGAGAGAGAGAAAAAAAGAAAGAGAGATCAAGATAGAGAGTGCGTGAGAGAAAGAGAGAGATATATAGAGCAATAGGGAGGGACGGAGGAAGTGAGTGAGTGATAGCCAGAGTGAGAATACCTGGTGCCCGCGCTGTAGCTCCATCAGGTGGTGGTGGTGACGGCTCTCCTCCTCCTTACACTGACTCTCCAGCCTGCTCACCTTGATCTCGTAGTTCTCATACATTCCCTGCAGCTCGTAGATGGCTTCCTGAGGAATACAAGAATACAGAAATACAGGAACACAAGAATACAGGAATACAGGAACACAGGAATACAGGACCACATGAATACAGGAATACAGGAACACAGAAATACAGGAATACAGGAATACAGCAACACAGGAATACAGCAACATGGGAATACAGGAATACAGTAAGCTGTGTTGGTGATAGAGGCACTATGTAGCAGACACATTCCGCTAACACAAGGAGGGAGGTGCGATTACCTCAGACTTTGCTAAATTGCACTACGGAATGCTACAATGACATGCGCGTAAAATGTTCAGTGTGTTTGACAGAACTGAATGTAGAGTGAGAGCCACGTACAAAATACAAGAACAGCTCTCACTACACTCGCAACAGAAACCGATTCCATACAAAATCCGTGATTGCGGTATCACCAACGTTTATGTGGTATGCGTGTGGAGCAGGCCATTATGGGGGTTGGCAAAAATAAAGATGACTGAACCAGAGGACAACATTTATATCATCCATCAATATCTTCCACGAGTATTGATCAGCGTCTTCACATCAATAACAGCTACAGTGATCATTATACGTTTCCTGTTAGGGTTATTACTGGGAATTTAAAATGTAGCCAAAAAAATAGCCAATTGACTTTTTTTGTAGCTAATGTTAATAACTTGTAGCAATTTTTGTCCACATAATTTTTATTCCGAATTACCTTCTTGAACAAAAAATACAGAGCATTTCAGCTCGGTGATGCTTGTAGGGGAGTCAGATCTGGACCTTTGCTGTTGTGCGTTACAATTACCAGTTTTGTCACTTTTAGCCCCCCAAAATAGCCAGTCTAATGTTTTATAGCCAGTACAAGTGTAGCACTTGGCTATTTCGGCGAGTGGTTGAGTAACCCCTGTTACCTGGAATGTTTTTTGTAGCGCGTCAGGGTCGATCTCATCCCCTGAAGACCCACGCAGCGTTCTCCATGCCAGTCTCTCTACAAACTCCTTCGGTTCGTATTGCTCCTGTAATGAAGCCACGGCAAGATAAACAACATTAGTTATTAATTAATATATTACTAATTACTAATTAATAAATTACGAATTACTAATTAGTAAATTGATAATTAACAAATTAGTAACTACTAATTAATAAATTACTAATTACTAATTCAGGGCCCTAGCTAGGATTTTTTTTTCTGTAGCCAAACAATTAGCCAGAATCAACTTTCATTAGCCATTTGGATTCCTGTTAGCACATCTGTATGCCTAACATTTTATGAACACAAACAGGCGATAAATAATTTTTCTTTTCTTTTTTTTTCACAAACTGTTATATGCATGAAGTACAAATACTACACTTATTTATGCAAACAAACTATTATTCACACATGTCTATGACTGAAAACTAACACTTGATTCACCACCATAACTCTGACTGACTGACTGAGACATTCAAATTGTCTGAATTTTTTTTCTTCACTGAGCTTGGCAGGAAAATTCTACTTTTCAAGTCAACATCCCTTCTTCTGGGCCTTCAATTTTTGATGGTTAGAATGTCACAAACCTTTCTGTTTTCAGGTGATTTTCAGAGCTGTTTTAACAAATTATGGTCTGCTACCCTCTCCACAATCAACTGTTGTGGATGGGATGGGTCACAAACAACTACTTTTTACAGTACCTGACGCACATACGCACGCACGCGCGATGCACGTACGCACGCACGCGCGCAGTACAGTATAGACAGTACTATACACACAATTATAGTTATTTATAAGTAATACTAATAGTTTACAGAAGAGTTTTCACAGCACATGCATTATATACTCTACTTTTTGTAACTTCGGGATGCTAGAAAAATTAGCTGCTCATCAAGCTGACTATATTCCCCAGTTAAGTACTTATCAGTTTTACTACTTTTTCAGTACCACACACACAGTACACACACAAACACACCCTACACGAACGCACACGCACGCACGCACACACGCGCACACACACGTGCACGCACAGGCGGTAGTAAAAATCATTTGACTTTTGCCAGCGTCATTGCCGTGCCGTGCCATGTGTGGAGACAGACCTTTTTTAAACACCAGGGTTTCTTCTGAGGGAAATTAGACAACGGTGTAATGCCAGTTTGGGAGGAAACGCCACATGATGATATCAAAGGCAATGCAGTGAGGCACGAATGTGGATTCTGCAGGCAGACGCGGAGGGAGAGAGTAGAAGGGTTTTCCGGGGGTCTCCCCAGCAAAATTTAAAACATTTAAATGTCTAAGACTGCATTTGATGCGCCCAAAAATAAAATTTACCTTTAGTTTAAATCTTACGCTTTTTAGCAGACCTACTAAGTCTCACGCTGGCATTTCGTGGGAGACTCACGCATCTGCACCCATTCTCTCCTGCGCTCCCGCCATGCCTCTACGCATTCTCACGCATTCACGCAAAGAAAAAAAAAACGAAAAGCAGCCCGCGCGACACCCTGTTACTCACCGTCCGTGGGCTGTGTCACATCCGGGGCTCGTGCTTGCTGTGAGGCGGCTTGATTGAGTACCGGGGGGTGGGGGATGGAGGGAGCGAATGCACTGATTGTTACAGTCGCGTGTGTGTGGTTATTGCTGTATATCTAGGGGTGGGCACCGCGCTGGTATGAGGGAGCGACAGCAAAAACTTTCCCGCAATCGAGGAAAAAGCTGCAATCGGGAATGAAACCGCCGCCGCCGGGAATGTGCCGGCACGCAAAAAGAAACGTTGCTGTTTCGACGATCAAATAGGATCGATGTTTGCTGGGTCATGTTTATTACGGGAAAATTACGTTCGTCACTTTTTTCGCCAAATAAGACTTTCAATCGCCAGATTACTAATTTGTTCGCCATTGGCGAATTGGCGAGTGGGTAGCGAGGGCCCTGCTAATTAATAACTTACTAATTGTATGTTACCATGATCACTGAACGATAAGGACTGTATGTATAAACTGTGCTGGTTTACCCTACTTTAGAATGCCCAGATTTTTTAATTCATGGGCTTAAGGTATAGTTAGCAGGGGTAGAAATAAGGAGAAAAAAAGAGATGGTCCACAGGACCATCTAGTTTGAAATTTAGATGGTCCTCCTCAATTTCAAACTATTCTCTAAAAGTAATACGGCGTGCAAGAAATTTACCGTAAAATGGGACCAAAATATTCAATGGTCCCTCGGACCATTGACTTTGAAAATCTGATCGTCCTCCTGATTATTTGATGGCCCCGGACCATCGGACCATCGCTTATTTCGACCCCTGAGATAGGATCAGGGTTAGGGATATAATGATAATGGTGATGATTATGATGATGAAGAGGAGAAGCAGGATGAGGAAGAGGTGGAGTAGGTGGAGGATGTATAGGGAAAGAGTGAAGGCAGAGGACGATGGATAAGGAAGAAGAGGAGGAGAATGAGGAGGAGGCAGGAAGGAGCATGAGGATGAGGATGCCGATGATGATGACGACGATGACGACGACGATGACGATGAAGACAACAAAGACGATGTTGTTGATGCTCTTGTTATATTATCTTATGTTCTGATATTTGTTGGTGTCCCTTGCACGTTATGCATGACAACGTTGTGATCCTACACATAGCTAATTAAATGTACTACAGATATGTAGTTCAGGTGTTCTTTACTAACTATAGATATGTAGTTCAGGTGTTCTATACTAACTATAGATATGTAGTTCAGGTGTTCTATACTAACTATAGATATGTAGTTCAGGTGTTCTATACTAACTATAGATAAGTTCAGGTGTTCTATACTAACTATAGATATGTAGTTCAGGTGTTCTATACTAACTATAGATATGTAGTTCAGGTGTTCTATACTAACTATAGATAGGTAGTTCAGGTGTTCTTTACTAACTATAGATATGTAGTTTAGATGTTCTTTACTAACTATAGATATGTAGTTCACTGAGAACACTGAGCGTGGTCTCTGCTGGAGTGTAATAGGCAAAGAACCACCCTGGACGTAAAACAAGCTCGTGAAAACCAATAGTATTAGGCTTACTCGAAAAAGGCCTGTTATTTTATGTGGTCATGTGAACTAGTAATAGTATTATTGGTTCAACTGTTTAAATTACGTAAAGTTAGTTAGTTAGTTAATAATAATATTAATATTTGGGTTAGGATTCGGGATTAGGTGATTGTGGTTATGGTTATAGACATTATGACGTTCATGATTAGTGATGCACGGGAGTCCCAAAGTAGGCCTGCCCTAGGCTATCCTAGTGTAGATTGCAGTCATACACTGTCACTGTTTCAGTGTAAACTTACTTCTTACAGGGCACAGGCACTTGGAACGTCTAAATAAAAATAAATTATGATAAATAAACACGAAATGTATTGACTACCAAAGTCTCAATGTTTCTCGATCTGCTCTCTTTCGCCTATTATTGTTGATAACTTTCTATAAATGCTGTTCATCTGCTCCTCTGAAACACACAAGTTTACCGCACGCTAGCTCTAGTACTATAGCCCGCGGATCGCTGCCGCAGGCGGCAGCAATCCGCAGGCTATAGTACTAGAGCTAACCGCACGCATGCCGCTGTGCACAAACAAAAAACAAAAAGAGCAGGTGTTCAGCAAAATTCGCTTGACGCTCACTTTGTTTGGTTTGGTTGTGTATTGGTGCTGTGATATAGTGTGAAACGAAGCTAGCGTCGAGCAAATTTTGCAATCACGCTTTCCCACCTGCTCTTTATTCTTGTTGTTTGTGCACAGTGGCGTGCATGCGGTGTACTCATGTGTTGCAGAGGAGCTTATGAACGGCATTTACAGGAAGTTATCGGCACTAATAAGTGAAAGAGAGTAGGCAAACACTGAAGTGGCCCAAGGATATAAGAGCTGTCCACATTTCCTCATTTGCACGTCGCACATCGCAAAAATGAATTGGGAACAGCTCTTATATCCTTTAACCGAAACATTGAGATTACGGTAGTAAATACATTTCGTGTTTTTTACCATAATTTTTTTATTCAGACGTTCCAAGCACTGGCAGCAAGATCAAGCCCGCACGTACAGCACACTCGCGGCGCCATTGACTATATATATACAACATGGTGTCGAACTCGCCGGCAGTCGCCGCCGCAGTTTCCACAACTCACCGTTTTAAATCAGTTACAACTCCCGTGTTCCTGCAGGTGACGCCACTTTCCAACTATCGTTGGAATCGCGGAACATTGCTTAACAATATACACCCGCCAATTTTGACAATCGGCCCGCCAGAATGCGCTTAAATCACAGAAATGCCTCAAATATACTTGCTAAATGATACTTAGCCTGCTACAGGATAAGGCGGCGGCTGGCTGAACCGTTGGCGGCTGCGCTGATTGGCTGCAGCAAGTTTAATGCGCAGACAGGCTGCGAAACTACGCTTGTTGACATCGCGGGTGAGTCATGACTCATGGTATGCGCAGCCGCCAACGGTTCAGCCAGCCGCCGCCTTAACCTGTAGCAGGCTAAGTATCATTTAGCAAGTATATTTGAGGCATTTCTGTGATTTAAGCGCATTCTGGCGGGCCGATTGTCAAAATTGGCGGGTGTATATTGTTAAGCAATGTTCCGCGATTCCAACGATAGTTGGAAAGTGGCGTCACCTGCAGGAACACGGGAGTTGTAACTGATTTAAAACGGTGAGTTGTGGAAACTGCGGCGGCGACTGCCGGCGAGTTCGACACCATGTTGTATATATATAGTCAATGGCGCCGCGAGTGTGCTGTACGTGCGGGCTTGATCTTGCTGCCAGTGGTTCCAAGTGCCTGTGTTAGTTGTTAGTACTAGATTAGTAATAGTATAATATTAGTATAGTACACCCATCATTCAGTCAGTGTCAGTGAATCGCAGACACCGATTCGGCGATTGCTGTTACTAACAGTAACATACCTGTTCCAGCTCTTGTAAATACTGTACCATGTACTGCGACATGATTGTACTTGTAAATGAATGCAAAAGAAAAAAAATAATTATAAGTACAGCGTCCTAATTTGCTATTGCTTGCCAATTTTTACAGCCAAAGGAGTTGGCATGTTTACATTTATATTTATGATTTTACCGGCAGGAGAGCGTAAAATTACCCAGCAACCTCGTAAAATAAGGTTTGCCAGATTTAAGATTTTATTCGTCATAGTATCATATAACATGATTACTACAATAAAATGGACTTATTATATTTATAATATATATTCTACATTCTTAGTAGATTTAACTGTGTAAATTCAAATTACGGTCTATGGCGGGATGGCCCGAGGTTTATCGATCTTGCCGGCGCGCGATTGATGGGTGTTGCTATCCCCCGGGCGTGGAGTGAAAGTCACGTGATACAGTTGACGTAGACTTCAAAACTTTACAGTAACCACATAAACTAACGAATACAGTGTAGTGTACGGTATAGTGTATCCTTTAGTCTGTGGAAACCATAACACTAAATATCTATGTATTGGATCTCTATATATAGGGGCGGCATCCACAAAAATTAATCTATAGTGTTGGGACAGATATCATGATGCAAAAACCCTAACCCTTATCCTAACCCTAACCCTAACCTCTGCCCTAACCACTGATCTCTATAATATAACCAGAGATCATATTATATTATAGAGATCAGTGGCCCTAACCTATAACCCTGACGGTCTGACCCTAACCCTAATCCTAACACTAACACTAGTGCTGCCACGTTGCGGGACCGTGACTCCACGCCCGGGAGATAGCAACACCCGCGATTGTACCCAAGCGCAAGTTCGGAACATCAACATGGCGGATGCTGAGGATCAAGTTGTAACTGTAAGTTTGGCGGGGCGAAAGGCTATACTACGAGAGCTAGTTGTAAAGTTGAGCAAGCAAAACAATATTGGTTATTGTTTCACTTATATATTACGATCAACTGTAGTACGTGTACATAAGTTAAACATGTGGCTAAAGGTTACGGTACACGTATTCGTAATGCGTATGACGTAAACAAAGCCCATGGCCATGAGGCCACAGGCACTTGCCTGACTTGGAACGTCTCAATAAAAAAAAATTATGGTAAATAAACACGAAATGTACTAAACTATTAATGTTTCTCTACTCTATTTCGCCTATAATCACCTGTAAATGCCGGTCCAATGCTCATCTGCAATACACAAGTACACCGCACGCCCGCCCGCCCGCGAGCTCTCTTAAGCCTAGGACACACTGTGCGATTTTCTACGCTGGCCGCTTGCGATCGATAAATACGGTGCCGGGTCCGCGCGGTGTGTCCCGTCTCACGGCAGCGTATTTCGCACGCGATCCCATACGCCCGGCTGATCGCTCGCATTCAGCATGTTGAATATTTACGCACCCGCTTGCGTACAGCGCATGCGCTTGCATGCGCTTGCACCAGCTAGCACCAGCGCGCCCAGCAATGAATCATCGTGTTCGAACACGATTGTTTTTAGCAGCCAATCAAGTGTAGCAACGAAGCCGTTGGAAGCGGTTTGACACCGTACAGTGTGTCCAGCTGTCCGCGGAACTGGTACGGCGTTCTAAATTCGTGAGCGAACATATACGCTGCCGGGCAGCGTACAGAATCGCTAGTGTGTCCTAGGCTTTATTCATGTTGTTTGTGCACGCAGCACAGGGCGGTGTACTTGTGTGTTGCAGATGAGCATTTGACCGGCATTTACAGGTGATTATAGGCGAAATAGAGTAGAGAAACATTAAGACTTTGGTACATTTCATGTTTATTTACCATTATTTTTTTTTATTGAGATGTTCCAAGTGCCTGGGCCTGACACAGGGACCTGAGGCAAAGAAAAAAAAAAGTGTTATATATATAAATAGGGGAAGGGATCTAACTCCCGCACGCTGGCGATTAGACCAATAAATTGTGCCCTAAAATTTTTTATATTCTGGTGTTATTTTAGGGCCCAATAGGCTTCAGGGAATAATTTTCCCGGTATCGCATCGCAATTCGCGATGTATTTTCAGCCATGAGGGTACCACGCCGCGAGAGGTGGGTGAGCTGAGAGCGCCGCGCCGCGAATGAGGTGTGAGGTACCGACACGCGAGAGGTGGCCAGTGAGCGTGAGGAGCGCGCGCCGCGAGGAGTGGGTGAGCGTGAGGCGCGCGCCGCCGGAGAGGTGAGCGTACCACGCTGCGAGAGGTGGGTGAGCATGACGAGCTGCGCGCGCCGCGAGAAGTGACATACCATGCTGCGAGAGGTGGGGAGCATGAGAGCGCGCGCCGCGAGAGGTGGCGTGAGCATGAGAGCGGCGCGCCGCGAGAGGTGGTGAGCATGAGAGCGCGCGCCGCGAGAGGTGGGTGTACGTCAGACAGGGTGAGTGTGCGTAAGAGAGGTGAGAGAGGAGAGAGCGCGCCACCAGAGGTGCGTGCACACGTGAGAGAAGGTGAGCAGAGGAAAGCGCGCGCCGATGAGGTGAGTGTACGTGAGAGCGCACATCCGCGAGAGTGAGTGACCACGAGAGCGCGCGCCGCGAGAGAGGTGAGTGTGCGGTGAAAGTGTATGTATATATGTGGGGTAGTTATAACAAGAATGCATCGCTACGAACATCCATGAATCGCGTTCGATTTTTTTGCACATTCACAGAAGGTTAGCAATGCCGACTCCACGCACGCGTCGCGTGACAAAAACAAATGTTGTGGTTGTGATAACG